CACCGTGTTATAAGACACATGCAGTGTCCCAGCAGCCAAAACTGCCCCTGGCTGGAGCAACAGTTGTCCCTTTCTCATGGCAAACCACCCCTCCCACAGCATGGGGAGGAGCCAGGGCCAGCCCCAGCACTGGCAGCAGAGCTGTACAGGCAATCATAGTAGCGGATTTTGTTGCACTACATGGATGGCAAGGAAAGTGCAATCAGCTCTTGCTTCACACAGATAAAAATGCCCTCCAGGTCTCTCTGTCCTCTGTCTCCATCACTCTGCAATCTCTCGGGCCACCCTGGGTCTGTGTCTCTTCTTCCCCCAGCCACTTGGGGACAGCTCCTGCAGCACACAGTGGGACAGGAGCCAGGCGTGGCTATTTCATGTGCAGAGTCCAGCTGCCCTACACAAAGGGTTTTCCCAGCTGGGATCCCATCTGCCTGCATATGTGACCAGGGCTGGGACATGGTCAGTCTCCCCTCTGTTTCAGCTCCCTCTCTCCTTGTACTAGCTGATGGTGGCAGGCTCTCCACAGGTTGGCTTGCTCCTGGAGAGGCTGGCTGATCCCATCACCTCTTTGTGAGCAGGTGCCTTCAGCTATAGCTCTGCCTGCCTGGAAACTGCCTCTCCTTGCCCAGCAGAGTAGAAAGAGGCACTAGGACAGCCTAGGAGCCAGTAATATTGGCTCATCCACAGTGTGTCCTTTGCTTTCAGGTGGCACTGAGCAACCCAGCGGTATCCCCTCAAGGCCATCGGGGCCATGGAGGTCTGCATTCTTTGATAATCTGCATTTTTTTTTCTTTAGGTCTCACTAGGATTTTGTGTTCCCCAAGTCAGGGGCTTCTCTCAAGCAGGCCCTGGAAGGGCACATGCCCGAGTCAGGAGACCTCAGGAGCTGGCTGGACACCCAGTCTGAAGTGGGAGGGGATGTAAGGCAGTGGGGAATCCCCATCAAAGGAGGACACTCCAGTCCAGGGGGAACACAGGCAGGGGTAACGCAGCACTCAGCCCTGCCAGCACACCAGCAAGTTAAACAGGAGCACCGGGGGTCATTCCTATACTGACTTTACAACCACCGAGGTAAAACTCCATGGGACGAAACCTGGTATCTTCTTCAATGACTGAATTCAAAAGCATTCATCGGGCAAGCATGGGCTTATTTTTTTCTCCAGCTTTGTGCCTTTTCTCCCTGACGGGAGAGGTGGAGGGTGGCAGCTGCAGGGTGCTCCTGTGCCAGCTGCAACCCCAGCAGCTGTACACTGACCAGGTCCTGCGGATTCTTCTTCCTGAGGGCCGGCAGAGGATGCCCGCGGGGAGCGGAGCGGGGCTGGCAGATGCAGCGCTGGGAGACCCCAGCCCCAAAGAATAAGGCGAAAGTGTGCTCGGGCAGGGTTCCAGTGTCCCCGGGCGCCGCGCTGCCGCAGGGCGAGCTGTGGAGGGCGGGGATTCCCGGGGGATTCCCGGGGGGTTCGGGACCCCCGGTACCCCGGCCCTGCCGCACCACGTGGCTGCGCCCGCCACGTGCTCTCCCGCGAGCGCGGCCACGCCCCCCCTGCCGGGGCCCCACCACCCAATCAGCGCGCAGGCGCCGCGCTGCCTCCCCCCCATTGGCCGGCGTTCATTTCCCCCTGGCGGGCGGTGCGTCCCCCGCCCGCGCCCCCCGCCGCGCAGTACCGGGGCTGTAACGCGCCCTCCCGTTGGCCGATGGCAGAGCGCCGGCCATTGGCGGAGGGGCTCGAGGGGCGGAGAGCGAGGATTGGCCGGGCGACGCGGCGCTCGCGGCGATTGGCCCGTGTGGGGGCGGCGGGGGCGGGGCCTGGCGCGGGGCGAGCAAAGGGGGCGGAAGGGGCGCGCTCTCGCTCTTTCGTGTCAGTGCCCGGCCCGGCCGCCCGCGCGTCCCCGCCGCTCCCGCCGCGCCACCGGCACCGCTCCCGCCGCGCCGCCGGCACCGCCCGCCCCGCGCCCTGCACAGCCCCGGCCGCCGCCCCTGCGCCGCCAGGCACCGCCGCCATCATGGTGAAGATCGCCAAGGTGAGGGCGCGCCGCCGGGGCGCAGCCGGCCGGGCGGGGGAGCGGGGTGGCCGCCGTCGTGGCGTGGCCGGTGGGGATGGGGATGAGATGGGGAAGCAGAGAGGGAGCCGGGCCGCCTTCCCGCCGCTGTTCGCTCGGGCCGCGCGGCGGGTCCGGGCCTGCTCGGCCTCGCCGTGAAGATGGCGGCGAGGGGAGGGGCCGCGGCCCCGAAGGGAGCGGCTTCGAGCCCCCCCCCCCGTCCCGCTCCGCTCCGAGCGGCGGTCGCCAGCGGGGCGCGGGCTGGAGGGGAGGGTCGGTGTTGGGGGGGCGTGTGTGTGAGGGACGGGGGGAGCGCCGCGTGTAAGGGCGCGCGGCACCGGGGGGCGGGGCTACGTCACCGCGCGGCCACGTGGGGCGCGGGAACTGCGCGCACGTGGGAGCGGCCCCCGGACCCCCCGCAACACCGGGAGGGCCCCGCACACCGGCCGTGGGAGAACACCCCGGACCGCCCCCCCCCCCCCCCGTTATCCCGCGGCGGCCCCTTGAGCGCCGCGGGGCCGGGCGGGGCGGCCACGTGGTTGGTTCAATTGTCCGCCGGAGCGCGGGCGGCCAAGGTGTGCACAGAGCTAAACGTGCTGCCCGCGCTCTCTTTCAGACCCCGAAGAACCAGATCAAACAGAAGAAAATGGCTCCTCCTCCGAAAAAGTTCGAGGAGAGCGAGGAGGAAGAGTCCTCTGACCTAGACGAAAGCAGCGGAGAAGAGGTGATGGATCTATAGATAAAAGTCGGAAGGATGCACGTGTTACAAAAGTGTCATGGGGCCTGTGGGTTACACTGTGGCAAAATGAACATTAATAAACAATCGGTGTCCGTCAGTTAACTGTGACTAAAAAATAAAGTGAATTTTATAAGGCAAAAGCAATAGGGAGGAAAACTAGCTTAGAAATGTAGCAAAGTCTGTACTTCCAAACTTTGGAAGGACTGCTGGGGTCTCAAAGCTGTCCTAAAGGTGATGAGCAAGTGGGTAAATATTAACTCTTGTAGAGCACAAATTATGTACAAGTCTAAAAGTTTCAACCTATTACATGCTATTAGAGATCACTGGTCTTGCTTCAGGACCAGGAAATTTGGAGGGGCCTGAATGTTACATAAGCAGTTTGTTAAAAGCATGGTCTTTATTAATTCAACAGGATGGGCAATTAAGGTAACTTAACAGAAACTTTCAGAAGGTAATGCTTTAGTTTGCAGTTGCTGTATGTTTGTCTGATATTGAAGTAATTGTAGCATAAAGGGGCAGCATAAGAGTCTTACACTAACGTGTCTTTCAGATGATCCCTCAGAAGAAACCACAAAAAGTAGCTGTTACCCCAGCCAAGAAGGTTGCTACCCCTGCAAAGAAGGTTGCTACTCCTGCGAAAAAGGCAATTACACCTGCAAAGAAGGCTGTGCCTACTCCACAGCCCAAAAAGGCTGTTGCTCCATCACCTAAAAAGGCAGCTGTCTTAACCAAAGGAGCAAAAAACGGAAAGAATGCCAAGAAGCAAGAGAGCGAGGAGGAGGAGGATGACGACGAAGATGATGACGAAGATGAGGAGGATGATGATGAGGAGGATGAAGAGGAAGAAGATTCTGGTAAGTTACTTTTGAAATATGCATTGATCCTTGTATAAGTTGTGGGAGAGGTGGGCAATTGGTGAAGTCTGGAGGAGAACTTGGGCTGCAGCTGCATTACACACAGCCCGTGAAGCACCTCCTAGTTTCCTGACTCTTCTTTGCTGAACTTTGTAAAAATCTTGTGAAACAAAATACTTTTTACCCATACCACTCAGCCTTCCAGCCTTGATAATAAAGACTTGTTGTACTCTTGATGCAGATGAGGAAGAGGAACCACCAATGCCTGTGAAGCCTGCAGCCAAAAAGCCTGCAGCAGTACCAGCCAAAAAGCCTGCAGTTGTGCCAGCAAAGCAGGAATCTGAAGAGGAGGATGAAGAGGATGATGAGGAAGATGATGAAGAAGATGATGGTATGTGGGATTTAGGGAAATTTTGTCTGACTCTTAAAAAAGGGTGGGTAACTAATAAACACTTATAGGGAGCCTGGGGAGGGGAGTAACTTAATGAATTAGTGGGAATGATGCAGTGTGTGCCCATCTGGTTTTAGCTGGTGGATGTTGTCCATGTGGCTGAATGGGTGTTAGTTTATCCCTATTAGTAAAACTTCTTACTTTTGGTGAACAGGTATTATTTTTTAATGCAATAAAACTTTAGGGGGAGAGGCAGCGTTTATAAACAACTATCAAACTTCTTTCTTGAGAACAAACAAACTTAAGGAGGTGTGAGAAACACTACTTTGCTTCACTGAATTTTCTTAGTCTCAAAAGAGGCTTAATCTGAAACTGACTGAAATACTGTGCTGAACTTGTTTCAGAGTCTGAAGATGAAGCCATGGACACAGCCCCTGTTCCAGTGAAGAAAACCACTCCAGCCAAGGCCACACCAGTGAAAGCCAAGGCAGACTCTGAAGATGAGGAAGATGATGATGAGGAAGAGGATGAAGAGGATGATGAGGATGATGAAGAGGAGGATGCTGAGGAGGAAAGTGAGGATGAAAGTGAGTTTAAATGTTTTTGAGATCATAACTACTCAATAACAGGAAGGATGGCTGAACAAAAATTTCATCCCATCTTTTGGGCTGAAGAGCAGTTGTTCTATGACAAGAAGTCTTGTGTATGGCTGGTGTAAGGTTTAATACTCCTGAGTTGATTCTGTATAGGAAAAGTTCTGTATTTTTCAGTGTTGTTGTTTGTTCTCTGTCACAGAACCTGTCAAGGAAGCACCTGGAAAGAGGAAGAAAGAAATGGCCAATAAAAGTGCACCAGAGGCCAAGAAAAAGAAAACAGATGGTAAGTGGTGTGGGATCATCATACTTTTTGATGGACTGAGATTGGACTGCTGGGTGAAACAGAACTGTGAAGAGCCAGAATGCCAGGGGTGGGGTTTCCCAGCACAAATGATGATCATAAGGGACTTAATACTGACACATGATGTCACTTTTGAGAAGCAACTGATGTGCTAAAGTTGTCTGGAGTCTGGCTCCCAGTTGCTAAAAAAACTGCCTTAAAAAACTCCACTTTATTATCTTTTTATTTAAAGGGCCTGTGTCAGCTTTCTCCCTCTTTGTGGGAAATTTGGTCTGCACCAAGGAGTTTGAAGAGCTGAAGGCTGGCATCAGAGAATTCTTTGGGAAGAAGAATATTGAAGTTTTAGATGTCAGAATTGGTGCTTCCAAGTGAGTTCATCAGCAGAATTCTGCTGCTTATTTCTTCTAACTGGCAATAATTTGTTTAGAGAGGTGCAAGTGTGCTGATGCTGATTTGCCTTCAAGATGGTTTGCTTAGTAGTGTATGGAGGAGCTACAGTACTGATAAGGGTTTAATACTTTGCCTGGTGTGCAGCTATGTCAGAGTGTCTTCCTGCAGAGCTGTTTCTTAGGTGGAACAGGTAGCACTTAATTTATTACAGTCAAACTTGACCAGTGGAAACCCCTGGGTTTGGGTTTCTGTTTGTGGTCTTTGCTGCCAGAGGGAGATCAGTTGAGATATTAAGGCTGCTGTTGTTTCAGGCGGTTTGGCTATGTGGACTTCTCATCTGCTGAAGATCTGGATAAAGCTCTCCAAATGAATGGAAAGAAGTTAATGGGTTCAGAAATCAAACTGGAAAAAGCAAAGAGCAAGGAAACTATGAAAGAAAATAAGAAAGGTATGGGCAACAACTCTGCATACCTGTGTACATCAAAGAAGAGTTGTTATAATGGGGGCTTGGAGCAGGCTTGGGGTATTACTGATGCCTGCTTTTCTACTCTGTCATGGCAGATCTTTGTACTCTGGCCTCTACATAGTAAAGTTTCTCAAATGCTGACACGTAGATATGCAAGTTCAGACTGGAATATCTGCAGATGTGGTCCTAAGAAATAGTACATATTGGGATGACTTTGGAGGAAATGTGTTTCCTTTAAAGCTTTAGGACCTGTTTCCTGACCTTGATGCCCTTAAAAGAAGTTCAATGGCAGCATGGTTAAGTTTCATAATAGTTGCTTTTGCAGCTTCTGAAAATGTGAATACTTACTGCGGTTTATTTTCTGCTAGATAACTTGCTGGCAGTGGCAGTGAAGACGAGGAGGGATTTTTAGCTGGTGACCTGAAAGTAACTTTTCTCTCTTTGCAGAGAGAGATGCCAGAACACTGTTTTTGAAGAACCTGCCCTACCGTGTAACCGAGGATGAAATCAAGGAGGTGTTTGAAAATGCAGTAGAAGTCCGGATAGTACTGAACAAGGATGGAAGCAGCAGAGGGTGTGTAGCTGAGAGGACTGTTGGATGTTTGCTGTTCCTTTGACTCTTGGCATATGTGTAAGCTTGTGTGTCCTTTAGCTGCCTTAAAGGAACCTGCTGCATTAGGTATACTGAAAAAGCTACTTTTTGCAGCATTTTTTTCCCACATCCTTTCCCCTTCTCCCCATTCATGAGCTTTGTCATTTCCAGAAGGAGACATTTGCTTACATTCTTTCTTGTGCTGTAGGATGGCCTATGTTGAATTTAAAACAGAAGCTGAGGCAAACAAAGCTCTGGAGGAGAAGCAGGGCACAGAGATTGAGGGTCGTGCCGTGATCATTGACTTCACTGGTGAGAAGAGCCAGCAAGAACATCAGAAAGGTACTTTTCCAGACCGATAGCGTGCGTACAAATGACATTCAGGATTTAAGTCCACATGTTTCAGAAGTTTTCTGTGGGTATGGCAACTTTAAGCACTGCAAGAAAACTAAGATATCAGGAAGGGACCTTTTGCCCGACTCGTGCTCTGCATCCTATGAATTTTATGTCTCTACTGCATGTTTCAGACAAGGTGGGTCAGCAGATCTAGGTGACCAAAACAGGGTTGGACTTGGCTTTGTGCCTCACCTTGAGACAAGGAGAAGGCAACAACTACTCCCCTTAGACAGGGTCTGGTAGCAAGAGGAAGAGAGCTCTCCTCCAAACTTAAACTTACAGAACTGACTTTTCCCCATAGGAGGTGGAGAGAGGGAGTCAAAGACCCTAATTGTCAACAACCTCTCGTACGCCGCTACAGAAGAGACGCTCCAGGAACTGTTTAAGAAAGCTTCTTCCATCAAGCTGCCACAGAACAACCAGGGCAGGTCTAAAGGGTATGTTGTGCCTTTCTTCTGCCTCTCCCCCCTGGGCTGGCATTGTGAATGACTTGCCTCCAGATACTCCATGTTGCTCCCAGGCTGACTGAAATCTTCCTCTCCATGTAGATATGCGTTTGTAGATTTTCCCACAGCGGAGGATGCCAGGGAGGCATTGAATTCCTGTAACAACACAGAGATCGAAGGCAGAACAATCAGACTGGAGTTCAGTACACCATCATGGCAGAAAGGGAACACGAACGCACGAGGAGGATTCAGCCGTAAGTGTTGAACGCTTGATCGTGTTGAGAGGGGCAGCAGTCAGGCAAACTTGGGGCTGTTTTAAAACAAAAAACTGTGCCAGTGGAGTGAAAGATCTGCACTGTAAGTGACTGTGCTGGATATGATGACTGATTATCTGAATTGCTGATGAAACTGTTGTCAAATTCCTCTAGATAGTCAAGTGCTGATCCAGCAGTGTCTGTACAGTTAGTTGTTATCGCTGTTGATAAGATGCAGGCATCTATTTTACAAAATGGGGGAGTGGGAAGAACTTATTTTGACAGTATCAGGTTGGTGAATGGAAATCCTTTGATGTCAGTTTCTAACTACAGTCTTGGAAAAATTTTCACGAGTTTCAGGTGCCTGAGGTGTTACTTGAAAACAGCCCCGTCATCCCTGGGAGGTGTTCTAAGAGCCAGTAGCACAAGCTGGATGTGATAAGAAGCTAAAGGTTGCCTTGTTCAGGTTGAATGACCTGTGAATATATTCCTTTTCCATAGAACAAAGCAAAACGTTGTTTGTCAGAGGCCTTTCTGAGGATACCACGGAAGAGACGCTAAGAGAATCATTTGAAGGCTCTATAAGTGCAAGAATAGTCACAGACAGAGACACTGGATCGTCTAAAGGGTATGTTAAACATCCCCTGGGATCAGTTCAGGTGCTACAAAGCACCTCACACTGGATCTGTGCAGTGGAGGAGGTTGTCATGCTCACGCGGGTGATTGTGTGAAACAACTAAATTGGGTGGAAGCAGAGAATGTGCTTAGAGCTTTGGGGCCTGTTCATGGAGTGCAGCACATGCTCACTTCTCACCTCTTCTCAATGAGCTCCTTCCTGCCAACAAATCCGTGGCAGCTGATGGATTCGCACGAGAAGGATATTAACTGTTCAGTACTGGCAAACTCACAGTGGGGATCCATCGATTGTGATTAGCCACTGCTGTCCTACACGTGACACATCTGTGAGATGCAGAAGTGCCAGTATTTGTTTCTGAAGGGATTACTGTCGGGTACCTGAAGGTGGTGCTGCAGCTCACAGAGTGTGACTTTCATTCTTGTAACCCGTTCTCTAGGTTTGGATTTGTGGACTTCAGCTCTGCAGAAGATGCCAAAGCAGCTAAAGAAGCCATGGAAGACGGAGAGATAGATGGCAACAAAGTGATCCTCGATTTTGCCAAGCCAAAGGGTGACTTCCAGCGTGGCGGCGGATTTGGTGGTCGTGGCGGCAGAGGAGGCGGCCGAGGAGGAAGAGGTGGATTTGGTGGCAGAGGTGGTGGCAGAGGTGGATTTGGAGGTAAGAGGAGGCAAATGCTTCTGTTCTGAGGGGGTGTGCTCAGAAATTAACCCAAAGCCATTCTGGGGTTATGATGTGGGGCTACCACAAGAGCAATGGATTTGAATTTATTTTCTGTCCTGTGCCAGGATGGCTTTGGAAGGGCCAGTGGTATATATTACATATATCTATAAAATGTATATATGTGTACATATATATATACACACATCATATATATTGTACCTCTAACTCTGGTTTTTGCAATAATTTTTTTTTTAGGTAGAGGTGGCTTCCGAGGAGGCAGAGGAGGAGGTGGAGATCACAAGCCGCAAGGAAAAAAGATAAAGTTTGAATAAACTTCCCCTTTCCTTCCCCTTCTTCTGCTCTCCAAGACTATCTGAAAGGACTCCGGGGGTTTTTTACTCTCCTTTGATCTTGGCGGAGCCTTCGGAGGACATTCCAAGAAGCGAAGCAGTACTGTGAGCCACTTGGAAAATACTAATTTTCATTTCAAGGAAGCGAGAGCAAGCCATTTTGACTGCTTGCCTGTTCAAAGGAACTTTTTAAAAAAAAACCCACAAGTGATAGATGTGGGAATTTACCCCTTGTCTGTGAGTTGTCTTGAATTTATAATGTTTTACCATGTACAAATTTTTTTTTCCTATAAACTTCTGTAGCATTTTTGCTGTAAAAATGCAGAATGTTTTATCATTTGTGCTTCAGCACCCTGTCTTGGACAGATTAAAGGACCTAAACTGGTTCGTGTTACTTCTGTGCCACTAAATGAAGCCAGGCTGGGAGAAAGAGGCTGTCTCTAGCCTTCCCTCTCTTATGTTAAGGTCATTAGTGTCACAGCAGCAGCTTCTGTCCTGCTTTGCTTGAGCTTGTGTCAGCTCCCAGCTGTGTGTGTGTGCTGTGTTAGAGTGCTTGCAGGAAGGAGGGCAGAAGAATATGATTGCCAGGGTAAGGTCTGTGACCACAACCATGTTTTGTTTTATTTTTTTTTAACTAAAGATGCTGTGATGCTGCTTAGTAGCCAATTGCTCTTTTACATTCTTTTTAAACAAATGAGTAAATCAGATCTTGTAATAAGGCCCTGCAGCTCAATTGCTCCGTCCTACAGGCATTTCCTCTTGTGTATCATTCCAAATTGTCTCCTCTTGAGTTGTCTTAAGTATGAAGCAAATACATTGAAACGGGAGGTTGGAGTAAGTGGCTGCTTACATGCAGGCCTTCTACTATTCTTCAGGCTGGGTCAGGGTGACTGCCTGGGGATGATGGAGCTCAGTGGCAGTGGTGACCGGCCAGTTTCTCTAGCCAGTCACATGACTGCTG